GGCGGCGCCCGCGCGCGCGCGAGGAGCCCGGGTGTCCCCAGCCGCGCCGGCCAGCTGCCCCTGGGGGCCAGTGGGGCCATGGGCGCGGGCTCCAGCCTTCCAGCGCGAAGGACCTGGAAAAGCACCTTGCCCGGAGCGGCGGGGCTGCGCGCACCGCGAGCGCGGGTCTGAGCGCCTTGCTTTCAGGCTGCAAACTCCGGGCTGAAGTTCTCGCTCCCGGCTTCTGCCTGGTTCCCGAGCTCTGAAACCCAGCGCGGGCCGCTCCTGATGCAGCAGTGTTCAGACTCGTGCACCTGCTAAGCGGTCCTGCCAAGTAGCGGAGCCCTAGTGCTCCGCTCGCCTGCGCAGATGGAACACGTTCCTACATAAGGCTGCCCCATAACCAGGCGCACTTGCCCATATGTCCACGGGGTGCCAGGCCCCCTAGACTGGTAGCTTAGGGGAGTCAAAGAGAGCGCCAGCAGAGAATCGCTGGGGGGCAGAGGGAGAGGCTAGAGAGGCTCAGGTTAAGGCTGTGCATGCCCTCCCAGTGCTCGCCGCAGTCAAATTAGGGTCCTTCATCCGCAAGAAACTGGGCCAGGCTGTGAACAACGGTTAAAACCAGACTTCAGACCAGGCCCATCTGGTACTGACTGCTTATTGTCCTTTCTACCTCTTCCTCTCCTCTGTTGCCTCACATTTGAGATGTACAGAGACGAAGCAAAAGTCTTAGGCACGCAAAAGATTACCCTGGAGGGCCGGACAGTTTGTTACACAGATCTTCTAGAGACGACCTTCACTATAGCAGCCTCGAAACCTGGCTCGACTGATTTCCACCCAGGTGGGGGTGGTGTCAGTCTGTATTTGTGCAGACCATAAGAAGACGAGAGGAAAGCAAAGTAGTATGGCTATGCTGTGAGTCATGAAATAAGTCAGAGAAGGAGGCTTGGGAATTAAGAAAAGAACTTAGAATCAGTTAAGCTCAATTACAATGATCTTAGATGTTTTTGCCAGACATGGTGCTATTTGATCAGCCAAGCAGAACATATTGTAGAGCCATGGACCATCATTCAAAAATGAAGACAGGCTATATGAAAAGAGACAAGTTATAGGTTAGCATAGTGTACAGAGTCATGACTGGGGTATGCTTAACTTCAGTTTCTCAGTTCCTACATTTGTAAAATGGAAATTATTCCGTGTCATGTGAGCAGTGTTATCTTAAAGGTTTTAAAGTTTTACAGATTTGTGTGCTCTTCTGACATATTTTTCTGTCCACTTCAGTTTCACAGTTGTGGCAACCACATCACATACATTTTTTTTCCCCAAGTAAAGATTTCATCGCCAAAGAAATCAGCATGCTCCAAAGCCTTCAAATTCTGTAAGAACCCACTTCTGCTCCAAGAGTTACTGAATTATTCCAACTTCTCCTTTCATTATGAGGAACTCTTCTGCAAAGAAAAGAGCCCTACCTACGGTGCTTATATTATGACTTTTTAATTTGGGATGAGAAAACAGTACCATTGTTTTCTATCCACTGTTGCATTTTTAAGTGGCAGTCAAATCCCTACGTATTATAACATTGTTATTCAGCTTATGCCAACCAAGTACATGGAGAGCAAATGACATGCACGATTCATAGCAGATTTTTTAAACAACTTTTAGGGCCAGTCAGATAGCTCATCCGACTGCTACCAGGGCCGCAGTGCTGTGCCGGCCCCGCCCCCAGGACATGCTGAGATGGGGACTGAGACTGGACATTGTGGCGCATGCCTGTAATCCCAGCGCTAGGAAGACTGCAAACAAGAGGATCACTGTGAACTCCATCTGTGTAGTGAGACCCTGTACAAAACACATTAAAAAAATGGAAAAAAAAAAAAGACCCTACTTTTGGAGGGAGACTATAATAGTGAAGGGCTTTATTTGTTCTGATTTTCCTGAGAACACAGATGAATATGAGATATACATGTAATTAAAATTACTGAAAAGAATTTAATATACTCTTATCATGATAGTACATCTATTGAAACCAGTAGTATAACTTTAGTAATACTCATTTAATATACCATCATATACTATAAGAGAAATACACAAAAGGCAAACTTGCATATTGGTGCATGATATTCCCAAGATCACATCTCAGCATTATTATTTCCTACTTGATGATTGCTAGGACATTTTTTAAAACCATGAGAATATGGTCTGTAAGTTACTACTACTTGGAGAATTATTTTAAATTGTTTTGTGTGGATTTGTAAAATATGTTCTGAGGCCAGGGGTATAAACACGGCACTTGTGTAATATATGCAAGGCCCTGGGTTCCCTTCTCAGGCCTACAGGAAAGAAAAGAATACGTGTTCTAACACTTGCAGATACAGTATTCTAACAGTCTGCCCTTGATTAGGTGGGATTTGTGTTGTTGACACATTCTCATCTGCATCACAGTACAGGCCAACCAGCAATTCAATTAATGAGAAGTTAGTTAAGATATACCAATATGTGGGTAGGTTTATCCATTTCAAGATACAGTTCGGTCATTTTTTTCTTTATACAGCTTATAGCTATGGTACAATATACATAGTGGGTTTTTTATACTGACTAGATGAGTTGAGCCATTTATC